AGGAGGGCTTGGAAGATGAGTGTGTCTGCTCATCCAGGCTCAGACTTGGAGGCAACTGCCCCCTGGGGAGAGAGGGAGGAGGGAGCCATCCATGCGGCCACATCAGACTGCAGAGGGCGAACAGGTGACTCTCGGTCTGCTTCCTGGAGTGTCTTCCTGTCTACACTTCCTCTCCTGTTTTTTCCTCACTAGCCATATCATCGACGTGACTCTTGGTTTCCTTTGACATGTTTTTAAGAGCTTCTATTCCGGGCTGCACTCAAGGACAATGTGCTCTGTGCACTCTTCTGAGTGACAATAAAAGTCTCCACCCAGCAGTTCTGCCCAGTTAAAGCCCTGCTCTGATCTCCCTTCTTTGCAGTCTGGCTACATCTCAACGCCCACAAACACTTCCTGCCCCACTGAATGACAATTTGTTATTCCTTTGACTTTTGCAGAGGAAAACAGACATATCTATTTTCAGACAATCTCCTGATTTTACTCTCCTCTGGGGAGCATACCTGTTTTGTACGCTTATTGATATCATGTGAAGCAAAGGCTTTTCAAATATTTGCAGAAAAATCCCATTATCCCATAATCAATACATCTGGATATCATACAATAAAACTTCCAGATAGCTTTGCATCATTGGTTTTTAGGCCACAGCTTAAGAACAGGATGAGAAAGGATTTTTAGCACAACACAGCAATCAATAAGAACATAAAGGAGGTAAATGTGTGACCCTCAATGAAATATGACTCCCATTTCTGTCACATGAATGCCCATTGGTAATTATAAGCCAATTTACAATAAATGATGTGTTCCTTATTTGTCAGAGAGTGAAGTCAGAATGTTGGCACCAGAAAGAAGGAAGTAAGAAGGAAATGGAAGCCCGTATTTTTGTTTTTTCCTTGCTGCAGTGAGAAGCAGAGACTTCCTGTTTGAGTGAGTTTCCCATTCCCAGAAGCTCATTCAATCTCTCACCTCTGGGATGTATTTTAGAAATTCAAAATCCAAGCACAGGCAGTAGGTAAATCCAATAGTATTTTTGTTTTTGTGAGAGGGAGGAAGAAAAAGGGCTATAGCAATTGTATATTCATCGAAATCTCCTGCCATTTATGGAATACAAATATTGCAGTGTTTAACCCAATATACTGGTGCCCTTACTTAGGGGTTTACAGACTCAAGTCTTCAGGATTCCTACAAGTGAGTCTCCAGGGGTTTCAAAGAAGCCATAGAGAAATTGGTGGACTATTTGCTATCTCCCTAGATTTAAGGACTCAGGAGACCTAGCTGCATGGGGCAAAGCTTCACTTTTCAGAACACAGAACACTGAGGATGACAGTTATGTGAGGGACCAGACCTCTGTCACAGGACACCCAGATCTCAGCCCACACCGAAGCAAAAGGGTTTAAGGCAGCACACAGTATGACATTGCTCTGCGAATTTCCACCCCCGATCTCTAGTTGCATGGCTGACCACTACCCTGTGGTCGGTACCAGGTCAGTGCCTGGAGGCCCTTCTCAGAGCTGTGCTGAGCACAGTAGAACCAGGAAGTGTCCATTCCACTGCCTCCCTCTCCCAGCATAGATGGACCGACAGAGCCAGGCCTGCAGCGATAGGTCCTGCTGACTGAGGGTCTCCATCTGCTTCATCCTTTGCTGCGCTCACCAAAAGCCACAGCATGTGAGCACTGACCTACTCTCCCTGGGAGAGGTGGATAAACAGATTACTTCAGTCATAAAAAGAAAAAGACGAGAGGAAGCGTGTGAGCCTGACTGGGAGAGCTTCAGGTCTTGCCCATGGTGCTGTCTCAAGCCGTGCAAGACAGAATGTTCCATGGATCCCTGGGCTCAGCTGGAGTGACTGCCCGGCCCCAACCCACAGCCCAGGTCTGACACCTATTCCTGCGCGTGCTTGTCCTCAGGTTCCCAGAAAACTTTCTACAACTTCTGTGGAGCTTTACTAGGTACTACTGGGTTCTGTGGGAATGTTTTTTGACACAACACAGTAAGAATTTTCTAGGGCTGTGCATGTGGCTCTGTGGGAGAGAACAGGCCTTGCATTTGTGAGGCCCGGAGACCTATGCCCCCACTGAGTAGCCCCCGAGCACTGCTGGTTGTGGTCACAGCAATGACAGGATTTCCTGTCATGTCCCGTGAGTCCTCACTTACTTTCCTCTGAGGTTTCTCCTAATGAGGATTTGTTGATATTTCTCAAAGCCAGATTTTTAAAACATGAATTAGACTGTTTTTTTTTTTTGAGAGGAGGTTGTAATGGAACAATAGAATGAACATAGCTGCTGACAAGAATGTTACTGATGCGAATTCATACTTGAAAGTATCTCTAATGATTTCAGTAAAGTGTTTGACTAATTAAAAAAATATTAGAGGGGTTGGAGAGATAGTACAGCAGGTAAGGCGCTTGCCTTGCTCGTGGCCTAGCCAGGTTTGATCCCTGGCATCCAAATGGCCTCCTGAGCACCAACAGGAGTGACTCCTGAGTGCAGAGCCAGGAGTAAGCCCTGAGCATCACTGAGTGTAACCCCCAACCCCAAACAAAACAAAATTTAAAAAATCCATGCTCTTCCTGCATGCTCTTGGATGATGAGGATGATTCCAGAAAGGTTCTCACTTGTGAAGACAATACTTGAGTGAGAATAGATGCTCCACACACAGCACACAGCCCACACCTATGTTTACATCCATTTATTTATCTAGCCTCAGACAGAGGTGTTGTTCCTATAATATACTGCCAGGTGCGAAGGCAACATCCTTATCAACTGTTGTCAGATGGCAGAGACATATGTAAGGAAAGAAAACTGGCACCGCCTAAGACTCATTCGGTTTCACGCAGGGCATCGCTCCCTCGGCTCCAGAGATGCTGCAGCTTCTGACCCTGTTCGTAACTGAAAGCTTCATGGATCCCTGGTCCCAATCCACGGATACTAGTAGCATCCTTCACATTGTGGTAATAAAAATGTCTCCAGTCACTGCCAGATGACACCAGGAGAGGGGAGGGGAATACACTAGTTGGAAAATCACTGGATTAGTAAACATTAATTGGGGGAATTTCTGAACTGTCTGTTAGAAGTCACAAATTTACAGACTAAACATTGTACAAATACTCTGGGTAAATCAATCCCTGGAATTAACAAGAAAATAATTCCAGATATCGCTTTCAATGGAATCGCAAAGCTTGAGCTTTATGGAGCTCATGAACTACACCTGAACAAATTTGGCAATTAAAATACTAACCTGACTGACACTTTTTATTAACACTGTACGGTGTTTGCTTATTCTTTTACATTTTTGCTTAAGTGTACGGGCAAAAATATTTTTTCCTTTGTACAGATAATTTCCAAATAATGACTGCTCAAAAGAGAAAATATATTCAGGGCTGTGTTCATGATCTTTCACCCAGATCACTCATATGATAGTCTCGTGACATTTTTGCTGTCATATAGGATCCAAACAGCAAATCAGTTCAACACAGAACTGATAATCTCTAATTCTAAACTTTTTAATTGTTAATATAACCCATGTTAAGTCAGAATTAACTGCTGATTTATATAGTCATCTCAATATTCAATCTTAGAAACTGCCTCTTCAACAATGCATACTTTCCCCCCAAAAGTTTTGTTATCCTGACCCCCACACCCCCTACCTCACACAATTCCATTTCTGGGTCTCACTGCAACAATGTTGGGATAGCTTGTGTTGCGAGGAATTTAACCTGAATCTTCTTACTGAGCTCACCAAGCTATCAGTTTTCACTGATTTGATTTTAAGTTAACCCACCACAAAAATTATACTTACTCTACATGGTATACCAAGCTTCTACCATTGGGGGAAAAATGAAGCTGAACTTCTGGGTACAGTTTACCTCTATTTGGTCATATTTAATAAACGGGAATTCTAGAACCTCCATGGAGCCTTAGGCATCTTTGAGGCACAAGAAGAATAATCACTCCTCCCTTTCCCTTCCACGTGATCACACCGGGCTGCTTCTAATTCCTGTCAGTCATGCTCTTGCAGTGAGTCGAGGCTGAAGTCACAACATTCCTACATCACTTCATTCCTACTAAGAAGGTGTACAGCGACTTGATCAAGTGCCCTGACTGGCAGACACCATGTCTGTGTGACCTAAGGTCAACAAAGAGCCCACTCGAAAAAACAGTGGGGATCGAAATGAACCAAGCAATTCTACTCATTCTGGGGAGCTGCCATGGGGAAAGGCTCATCGTACATGCTGGTCTGGGCGTTATGAGCAGAAAGCTGGACTGTTTTATATTAAGGTGGAGCAGAGAGTACATAATACATTTGTAAGCTCTCGACGCTGGCTGCGGAGTTTTACTGAAGCAGGGCACATGGGTTCAGCTCTTACACTTGCATGGGGACGAGCTTTGTGGAAATGCGCCTGCTTACACATGTGTAGGCACATGCTTCCTCATGGAGGGAAGAAACCAGGCTAGGCAGAAAGGAGAGGTGTCTTCCAGACTGCCTTCCAGACTAAACTCGACGACATTGTGCTTTTACTTCATCTCGACATGGAATCATGAAGACAATTATGCCAATCTGCAAAAGTGATGATACACTCACGCGTGTAATCTTTTTTTTTTGCACTAAATTAATAATGCAAATTAGGCTTTACCTAATGCAGATTTGAACTGAGTTTATGTCCTAAATCATGAAGAGAAGGAAAGTGGCTCATGTTATTCCAGACTAAGAATCAACACAATCTAAATTCAACAATGTTTCACATTATCTAAGGGGACTTGACAGAAGTGGGGGAAGCAATTCTTATTTAACACGTAGAAAGGAGGGGACTATAGATAACATAGACGTGGCTCAACAAATCACAATGATCAGCCATAGCATTTTGTATTCATAGTATTCTGGAAGGGATTTTAAAAATCTACCCCATCGCATACTCACTGCCCCGAAATAGGGCAAAAATAAATATATATTTTAAAACCTATGGTTCTAATGCCAGTCTTAATAAGACAGTTTTTTTTTAAAAAAAAAACAAATTTAATCCAGTTTGTGTTGATGATCAAAATACATTTTGCCTCGCACTGGCATTTCTTGTGATTACGTACTTTGATCAGTCCCTCAGCTACAACAACCAGAGTTCCATCTTGCTTACAAGTGGCACCTTCTAGATCTGAACCATGTAAAAATTCTTTACCATCATCATTTCATCAGCATTTCACTGGCTACGAAGTCAATGTTTTATAAAATAGTTCTTAGGCTGCTGCATTTCTTGCTTGTTCTCCAAGTCAACATGAAAAGTCGAGTTTCCCATTTTCTTCGACCTTGTTTTTTCAAGTGGCCCATGTCAATCCATGAAGCAACTTGACCGTCTCCTTTGGACTCATGTAGAAAATCTAACAAAAATATCCTGGCTCAGTTCTTTCTTCTTCCATTTTATCCCTAGGAAGTGGGCTGGAGCGAGGCATCCCCACACGGACCAAGCTGCATTCGTAGCGCACCGATTTTATGAAGATACCAGAGTTGGAGAAATTCCTCGGGCATGGCGTGGAAGCCAGAGAAGGGCAAGACGTTATCGTAGTAGTGGTGGCTGATGGGCTGCTCGAGCATATTCACAGAGAAGGGCCAGAAGCCGTAGATGGCCACCTCTTCACAGAGGCCCAGAGCTGCGCTCACCAGGAAGAGTCCCGTGGACAGGCGCTTGGCATGGATTCCCCTATTCTTCCAGAATTTTCCAATGCTACGCAGAAAGTTGGGGTTGGCGAACAGCACTGTTTGATTGGCACCAACATCAGACAGTGTATAATAAACCCGGAGGGATGGCTCTGTTCCCGTCTTCATAGAAAAGGCAGGCATGTAGATGTAACTGTGGTTATAAATTTTCATGTTGTCCACAAATGTCTTTCTGGACCACAGTAAGTTCTGAAACCTATTAAAGAGAAAAAAGAGACTCAATGAACGCGAAGAACTTCAAAATCCATTCTGGTTTTTTTTTCTTTCTTATGACACTGATACCTCCCATCATCTCAGCAAGAAACGAGGAAAAACATTTCACATTTACTTAAAATTCTCTTTGTACTTATGAATCATTTCTTATGCAAGTAACCTGGCTTTTCCCCAGTCAATCTTAAACTCAGGATCCCTTGGAATGCTCTAACATTATTCATTTTGTTTTCATTCAGTATTTATTTGTCAGGAATGTAAAATTAGTTTAATACTCATGAATTCGGAGAGGTTGTTGTTTGGGCAGAACTTTGATGAAAGTCACTTGTGTGGTCTGACACAAACTCAGACCTAGTTTCCTCATTTGCAAATCAAAGGAACCACTTTTAAGTACCTTCTTTCTGGGATTCTATGAATATGCAGATTAGCCTATTACTTCTAGAAAATGATACTGAGAAACCCTCATTTAGCTGTTTCAAAAAATCCTTTATTTTTGCTCCTTCATTTTGGATTATACAAAGAGAAGATGCCCCAGTTCAGATGTTATTCATCTGACACTGGTGACATGTATCTTATCTGTCAAGTATTTCAGAATTAAAAATTTAATTGCCTGGCTTTTTGTCTCAAGAAATTTAAGTACAATTTATTCTTTTTTTTAAAACTTTTTTGCTTCTTGGGTCACACCCGGCAATGCACAGGGGTTTCTCCTGGCTCATACACTCAGAAATTACTCCTGGCGGTGCTCAGGGGACCATATGGGACACTGGGAATCGAACCCGGGTCGGCCACGTGCAAGGCAAATGCCCTACCCGCTGTGCTATCTCTCCAGCCCCCCAAGAAATTTAAGTACAATTTAGAATAGAAAACAAAACGGGAAAAAAGGTGGGGACTGGAGTGATAGCACAGCGGTTAGGGCATTTGCCTTGCATGTGGTCGACCCGGGTTCGATTCCAGGCATCCCTGAGCACGGCCAGGAGTAATTCCTGAGTGCAGAGCAAGGAATAGCCCCTGTGAATTCCCAGTGCATTTTCTCAAAAAGAAAAAAAAAACTCCAAGTGAATACAATATGATGCTCTACATATTACACTGATATTTGTTATTTGATTTTTAAAAGAAACTACCATGAAATGTAAATGGAATAATTATTCTGCCTAGGAAGAGGTAGAAGGTTGGCCAAAATGTGCTCAGAAGGGATGGCAGGGAATATCCTCCTTGTGGGGAAGTGGAGAAATGGGAAGAAGAGCCAGCCAACCAGAGGACCCAGCTAACCTGCCAGAACCAGGGACAAGGCAGTGCCCCTGATTACATGGGGCAGGAGAGCTATGCAGTGGTGCTGGTGCTGTGATGGTTTCTCATTTGTTCAGACTTCACTCTGTTCAGGGGGAACAGTCAGAGCAGTCAGCCTTTAGAGCACTTGCTACTTGAATAATAAATATTTTACATTTGTTTCGTAGTTGGTTTGTGTTAAAACAATAACAACAACAACAGAAAAAAACAGCTCACATAGGTTAGGTGAGTTTGAGGTGGAGAGAGAGGCTGATGGTCTGGGGACCAGCTGAAAAGTTGTCAACAAGCTCAAGTGGAGAGCACTCTAGAACTTGTTCTACTAAGGGGAACAGCCTAGCTCAAGTTAGATGAGGGGCAGGAGCAGCTGCTAAGAATGGAATGGAGTCCCCATTAGCAGAGGCAGGTCTGGCCTGTCTCTTCGGCAGGGCTCCATATTAACATGTGCCAGCGTCATTTGGAATACACAGATCCACAGGATTCTATGTGGCCGTCAGCATCAGTTACTGTCTGCCAGGTAAGGTGTGTTTCTCAGTCTAAGGAAGGGCAATGTCTCATTTTCTCTCATTTTCTCCATTGATCCAGCAGTCTGCTTTAGTAAATCTCCCCTGGGTCTGACAATTTGAGACACAATAGCAAGGTTTTTTCTCGTCTTTTATCCTAGCAGCAACCACAAAGACACATAAATTCCTGCTTTCTCATCTCCAAAGCACTCTGCTCAGCCATTCTCTGATTCTTTCCCGTGCCCATGAAGAGCTCCTGCTGTCTTGCTAATACACACATGCTCTCTCCCTCATGCAGACACTTTTGCAGGCAATGTTTACTTCATTTGAACCTTGGTTCTCAACCTGCAGTGAGAACGACTTGGTCTCACAGTTCCTGAATGCTGAGAATGATCTCAGGAGCTCAGTCTTTTATGCAGTTCCCAGGGGACTCTGGTGCAGGTGTCCAGGAAACAGTTCTCAGAAGAGCAAACACTTTGTTCCCTGAATATCCATTTCTTTACATCCTCAACTGGTCCCAATTCTAGGAGGAAGAGGTACTCACTCTTCCCATCTGTGATTGGGAGCAAGGTGATTCTCTTGCTTCAAAGGAATCGTGCTCTGAAGGGGGCTCTCCTGTCTTTGGGACATTCTCTGCCCCCCATCTCTCCAGTCTTCTGACCACGGTTAGGCCTTAATTTGAGCCTTCTGCTATGTGCCTCTGGGTGGATCCCAGAGTCATGTGCTGTCCCTCTCTCTTTTTACCAGCCACATCCTAGAGCAGTCAGTGTACCTGACAGCTTGTCTTTACTGTTTCCACTTGCTCCCACTGTTGTGTGGAACGGCTCCTATGCCACAGGGCCCTGCTGGCTGTGGAGACGGTCTCTGTCGTCCTTGTGGAGAGCAGACTAATGAGAATGACAGCCAATCAAACCTTGGCTATGGAGCTTCTGCACCCAGTCTTCAAGCACAGCGATTATTCTTGGAAAGGGTAGTCTTCCATCTTGAGTTTTATTTGGAAAAGGATACACATCTTACATTTATCATGGCTTGAACTTCACTGACGGCTAAAGAACAAAGCTGTATGTTCCATTTTATTATTTGACCTATTCCATTCTTCAACAAATGACCTTATTTGGAAAGCTAACTTGGGGCCAGGAGATAGCTCATGAGGGTAGAGCACACGAGTCTCCCATGTACGCAGCTCCTAGTCTGACCGCCAGTATCACATCACTGGGCATTGCTTGAATGGTTCTGAGCATTGCAGGCCTGGCCCATGTGGACCCCAGCACCGAGTTTCCCAATGCCCCAACAGTACTGCTGGCGTGAGCACCCAACAGTCAAGACAAATCCTGGATCTGGCCCAGGGCCCGTGAAGCACTCCCCAGGGACGCCCCCCCCCCCCAAAGCAGAATTTCATTAAATCATTGTGGAAAACATGCTACAATTTCAGCTGTATCTTTTTTTTTTAATTTTTATTAGTGAGACACCATGAGGTACAGTTGTAGACTTACAAATTTTTGTGCTTGGATTTCAATTATACAATGATCAAATACCCATCCCTCCACCAGTGCCCATTTCCCACCACCACGGACCCAGTATCCCTCCCACCCCCCCATGCCCCCATCCAACCCTGCCTCTGTGGCAGGGAATTCCCTTTTGTTCTCTCTCTCCTTTTGGGTGTTGTGGTTTGCACAAGAGGCATTGAGTGGCAATCAAGTTTGGTCTATAGTCTACTTTCAGCATGCTTCTCCCATCCTGGGAGGATCCTCCAAACACCCTCCACTTGGTGTTCCCCTTTCTATCTGAATTGTCCTTTCCCCTAGAATACCCGGCTGGCCTCTAAGTTATGGAGTAATCCTCCTGGTGCTGATCTCAGCTATTCTTGGGTATTAATCTCATACTTTGTTACTTTATATCCCCCAGATGAATGCAATCTTTCTATGTCTATCCCTCTCTTTCTGACTCATTTCGCTTAGCATGATACTTTCCATGTTGTACCACTTGTATGTAAAGTTCATGACTTCATCTTTTCTAAGAGCTACATAGTACTCCACTGTGTAGATGTACCAAAGTTTCTTTAACCAGTCATCTGTTCTTGGGCATTCATGTTTTTTCCAAATTCTGGCTATTGTAAAGAGTGATTTCAGCAGTATCTTGATCAAGAATTTGATACGGTAACTTTATATTTTATTGAATGATTACAGAATTATTCTTGAATTGTATGCAAACATCTCTCATTCTTAGGTTCTTGGCAAAGCTCACCTTGAATGTGCAACTATGAGTTTTGCACTAACAGATTCCTTTTTGCTCATAGCACAGCGGGTAGTGCATTTGCCTTGCACGCGGCCAACACGGCCGACCCGAGTTCGATTCCTCCGCCCCTCTCGGAGAGCCCGGCAAGCTACCGAGAGTACTCGATATGCCAGACACAGTAACAACAAAGTCTCCAATGGAGACGTTACTGGGCCCGCTCGAGCAAATCGACGATCAACGGGAGGGCCTTTACCTTTACCTTTTATGCATCATCCGGGTGAAGTTCTGCCTACAAATCAAGACCCTGCTGTAGCGTTTCCTCTTTCCTCCAAAGTCAGCTCTCAACAGTCTTTCTTGCGTGCTTCACCGTAACTCACTATTTGCTTTTTAATTGAATCACTGTGAGATACAAAGCTACAAAGCTGTTTGTGATCAGGTTTCAGTCATACAATTTCCAACACCCATCCCTCCATCAGTGCATCAGTTTACATTTCACACCACCAATGTCCCCCTTTCCCCTCCTCAGCCCCTGCCCCCTGCCTGTCTCTATGGCAGGCACTTTCCTTCTCTCTCTCTCTCTTCTCTCTCTCCCCACCTTTGGGGATTATGGTTTGCAGTACAGGTACTGAGAGGTTATCCTGTTTGTTCCTTTACCTATTGCAGCACACAGTTCTTACCAGAGTGATTATTTCCGATGATCTTTGTCATAGTGGTCCCTTCTCTATCCCAACTGCCTTTTCCCTAAGCATTTGAAGCAGGCTTCCAACCACTGACTGATCCTCCTGGCCCTTGTTTCTACAGTCCTTGGGTACTGATCTCATTATGTAACTCACTATTTCTCCCTTGAAGACACAGGAGAAGTCTTATCCATCTTTAATTTGTATAACCTAATTGTAGAATGTGTAAGAATAAGACTATTAATAATAATTTAAAAAGTCAATCAGCCAATGAATACTTAAAACAA